GCGTAAGTCGCAAGTGTTCACTCGTCTAAGCACTCGAGGCAATCCCATTTGCGGCATATGGTTGCAAACTAGCCGGATGCCTTGAATGCAGCATATGTCTGAACAGGAAAAAGACCTTAATGCGTAACGTGCTTTACCTATGAAGAGATTTTCCAGTCAGACGATCAGAACTTGATATGAATTTTAACGCATCCACTAAGGCCCCATCGGCCGTTTTCACTGTTGAAAGTATAGGTCCACATGCACTATTCTACCTCTTTATATCTAAGTAGTCACCAAGCCAGTTAGCTATTTTCAGTGTCATAATTGACAGCTAGGGGGATCTCCGAACTGGGTTTCAACTGAGTGCTGGCGTACAATGCTTGTCACACCCCCCCGACCCCCATTCCTAAGTCTCTCGGCCTATCAGACTGCCTGAGACTGCCTGCGAAGGTGGAATCGGAGTTGAGCATCATTCGTCAATAAAACTAAGCACAACATTTGCGTTATCGTGTTGCGTTGACCGACGTACCTGATAGCTTTCACGATTGAAATAATCCAACATATCACGTGGATTAGAAGCAGGACTGCGAGCGCAATGAAGGCTCCAATTGACTCCCAACTCTCCTGTTCATCTACGGTGCCCTGCGCGACATCCATGTGACCGGTTGTAATAAAAATTTCCAACGCCTGGAGTCAGCTATGAACTGGCAGAGTGGGCAAAGCGGGCGCGAATGGGCCAAGGGAGTTTGTAAGTGGATGAGACGCCTCCGGAGACGCGCAGATGTTAGTTGGGGCCGGAACGACAGTGGAGCCTTCCAAGTAGCCGTCTCATAGCCCTGATAACATAATGACGGTGATGACGATGATGTCACCGTGCGGGCGCTGCCACACGAATAGCTCACGAGCGTGATCGTGTGGCTGAATCGTTGTGTGTGCGTGCTGACGCCTCTGCCCGCGATGGCGCGCATTTCGTGCGTGCCTGGCGCAACTGACGTCGAATCAGAGGGCGCTTCGAGGGCTATGGATTTTTTTTAGACAGACAGCCCAAATTCCTATTGGTTACTGAAGCTGATCGCGTGCGCGACTTGGCTTCGCGTGCCTAACGCGCCTCCCACGCGTGCGTGATATGTCAGCTAGGTCATGTACAGCAGCGAGAACAGAGACAGCGATTTTGCTAACGACCCTCACTCGCCTGTGCACTGCAGTCGGTCTCCTAAAGAAAAGGCTTTAGCCGGGCAAGACGGCACTGATCAACCCACAATTAAATGAGCGTAGGCTGCCATCTCAGCTCCTTCCACTCCGGTTCAGTTTATTTGAGGGAAATTTAGGTTTTGGACTTTTCAACTCCCCAATTGTTACAGGGAAGGGAAGTGTATCAAAAAGTTTGAAAACGGAAACATCAAACAGCTATCGAAAAATTGTCGAAATTGTACAGATAACCGAACTATTCCAAGTGTCTGAAGCATTGGCACTATAAATGATTTTGTACATTAGTCAGTCTACACATGATTAGGCTTTAAAAGAAGTAAGGCGATTTAAGTTATCTTCAGGCGCCAAACTGAATATCGGCGTGCAATGAGTTCGGGACAATATAAAAGTTGAAATAAAAATAGCTTTACTGAAATATAGATAGTAATATCATTATTATAGTAACTAAACCGCTCGCAGGACACGTCAAGACGGTAGCGGCATTATGATGCACAATGGTATACTGATGCTGCCTCATAAATAAGCAGGCCGATTAAGTGTTCGACCAACGTTCTTTCAAATAAAACGGACACCTATTTCAATCGCAAATTCTTTCACCAATGAGGGACCGACCTTCAGCGATGAGGTTGCGCAACATATTCGTCCCGTTGCTGCTTAGGACACAATTTTGCGCGCCTACAGGCAGTCTCGTAGCGGCAAGTAATTGTGTAGGAGTATAGAAAACGACAAGCGATATCAGGATAGTCATTTCTGGATTAGCAGCCGTTTGCTTCGTGAAGCCAATAGATCGGTGTGCGCCCATTCCTGATTGACTAAATACAGGATATGCAGCGACAGAGAATGAGGGGTGGCGAGGCACTGATGGACTTCGTCTCGATGAAGTGCTTATGAACCACCTGGTAAACCCCACTGGTGGACCAACTGCGCCAGGTGCGTTTTTGCGCATCTGAATGAAGACACAATAAGCCTGAAACAGCACTGTATCAATCTACCCGCATTCTCTGTTGTCCCTCCTCCCTGATATTCGGTAGAAAATCACGTCTTCTTCCAATTTCATACTCAAAAAAGTATAATTCGGTTTATAAAAACTTTTCCGATTCCCGAATAATTCTGAACCCGACCAGCTGTTACACTTGCATTCACGATTTTAAAACTACAAGCTGTATATTTTCCGTGTACGGAAAACCATGCATTTTTCTACGGTGTTAAGAGGAGACCGTATGAGGTTCATAAAATTAAGCGGTGGATTTGAGCAATATTGTTACCTTTACAAGCCACATTCGCAAATGCAGATACATGAGGTCTCATGACCGGCCATTTAACGGTATTAAAAAAGCTCACAATTAGAAACTTTTTTAAAACCGAATCATACTCTTCTTTTGAATATGAAATTGGAAGAAAACGTGATTTTCTACCGAATAAGTAAAAGAATGAATATTTTTATGCATGTTTTCCATGCAATATAATTGAATTTTCAAGGGCATCGAAAATCAATGAGAAAATTGCATGCTGCTTAAGTAGTCATTTTCGCGGAATATAGATCTGGCATGTAGCCGAAAATAAGTTCTTTCGAAAGCCGACACCCTGAGGTAACTGTATCATTATAGATTTATGCTGCATCATGTTTAGCTTTACAACATTACTTAATTTATCTTTTTGAAACGAGAACGCATTTCGAAATTTTGGTTGACATTTCATGAGTTAGAACATCTACTATATATATATATATATGCTCACATATATTCTACTTACGTCGCTTGTCTTGAAATAAACTGCTTAATAATTTGTGGCGGAAATTTCCCCATATAAGGAGATTACCGACGAAGACGAGAGAAGTTGGGATGGCCATTTCTGACTTATTAGGCGCCGTCGGCCAGCCTTACTTAAGCCCAGGTTTGCAGCACCTGAACCTTGATTTCGCTCGGTGCCCCAAATCCTGGCTGGATGAAGACGGCTAGTAAGCGGGAAATGACCATCCCAATCTCCCTCGTCTTCGTTGGTAATATCATTCAGCCAACATGACTAGCCGCTACAACAAGACGTAGTTCGGTGGGTACGGCGGCTTTTCGAGCATCCCGTTAGTTAGCCCGGTAGGCAGCCTGTAATTGCGTTGAGTGAAGTTTCTTCGTTTATGCACTGGGATAAGTGCGCGGTCACTAGATGCCCCCTATGCTGCTGCTCCACTCAATCGTGCTAACAGTAGGTGGGCTGACTCATGAAATGTCATCAGAAATTTCGAAATGCGTTTCCGTTTCGAAAAGATTACTTAAGTAGGGTTGCAAAACTACTCAGCCTGCAACATAATCCTATGCTATTTCAGTTGCCTCAGGATGCCGGCTTTCGAATGAACTCCATTCCGGTTGCATGTGAAGACGATACTCTGTAGAAATGACTACTTCAGTAGCATGAATTTTTCTCATTGATTTTCGATGCCCCTAAATGTTTAATTATATTTCTTGGTAAACATGCGTAAAAATATTAATTATTTTGCTCCTTCGGCAGAAAATTACGTCTTCCGCTAATTCTATACTCGCAAGAAGGGTATAATTCGGTTTTAAAAAACTTTTCCAATGCCCGAATAATTTTGAACCCCACTCTGCCGTTACACTTGCATACAGGATTCACAACCTACAAGCTGTATAACTTCCCCGAGCGGAAAACCATACATTTCTCTGTGGTAATAAAGGGGAGCCATATAGGCTTCATAAAATTAATCAGTGATTTTGAGCCACATTGGTAAATGCAAATACATGACATCTCATAAACGGCCATTCCATGGTATTAAATAATCTCACAATTAGAAACGTTGTTGAAACCGAATTATACCCTTCCTTCGAGTGCAAAATTGAAAGAAGACGTAATTTTCTACTGAATTAGTAAAAGAATGAATATTTTTATACATGTTTTTCATTAAATATAATTGAATCTTTAAGGGCATCGAAAGTAAATGAAAAAATTCATGCTACTTATATAGTCATTTTTTACGAAGTATGGTCTTTGAATGCAGCCAAAAGGAAGTTCGTTCGAAAACCGGCGTCTTGGGTAACTGAAGCATTATAGAATTATGCCGCACGGTGACTGGTTTTACAACCCCACTTAATTAGTCTTTTCGAAACTGAAACGCATTGCGAAATCTCTGTTGACACTTCATGAGTCAGCCCACCTACTGTACATAAGTTGATGGCCCCCTTGCGTATTACTGCCACTTAACCAGCCGACTTACAAAGAATCTTTACGCCAAACTTCAGATAGAACTCGCAGACAGATGTGAACAAATAATTGCTAGACCATAAGATGGGCGCTTTCGTGAAGAGAAGGAGGATTAATTTTTAATAAAGTGAACCTGCACTGTACTTATCTCATTCTCTTTTCCCGCCCACGTCGTATTCCGACAGAAAGACCATCTCCAGATGACTGGAGATAGGAATGCAAGCTGCAGTCGACGAAACGGCTCCCATGCGTCCAACACCCGATCGGGATCTCATATGGGCTCCATCCAGCCTGAACATGGCAGATTTCAACGGTTCAGTTATCGCCCCCCCCCCCCTATGATCTTCTACGGGACATGAGGATATTCTCAGCAACTGCAATCCATGGACCATCTTCGACCGTCGCAATACCCTTACATGCAACTACTGCCTTTCTCGTCGAAAATGTCTGTGAAAAGTTGTTTCCTTGAACATTAAATTAGTGTTCACACCACCCGAACAACATTCACTCAATGAAGAGTTCCAACTTTGAAGAAGACGCAACATCTACAGAGTTTGACAAGTATGTCTATTGATTTTCTAAAAATACTGTTACGACTACTACCCTTGCTGCTGCTGCTGCTGCTGCTGCTGCTGCTGCTGCTGCTGCTGCTGCTGCTGCTGCTGCTGCTGCTGCTGCTGCTGCTGCTGCTGCTGCTGCTGCTGCTGCTGCTGCTGAGACTACTACTTCTATTACATTCGTTCGTGTTGGAGCTGCTAAATATTAGGGGTAGGCCTGTGTTTTCGCAAATGAATGGAAACGGGGGTCTGTGGAATCGCACAACTGTTCACCTGATGTCTCAAACTCTCGCAGACGTTTACCCTACCGCTGGCTTTTTTGCGAGCTCTCCAATTAAATTCGCGCTTTTCGGTAACGCGCATGATGGCAAATCTCCTCAAAGCACTTGAATGCCAAAAGAACATCCAGGCTCGTAGTGCCGGGTAGTTCACATTGGCGGCGGTCGTGTCCGTTGTGGTACAACAGCCTGTCGGGGCCAGCGGTTTCGGTCAGCATTAAATTCCTAGTTGCAGCCAAGTAACACTGCCTGACTTGCAGCGAATGTCTCCGGTGGTCAGATCTGTGTGGAATTCGAGATGCTTAAAGAATTCCCACTGTCCACAACGGGATAGCCGAAGCCGACTTCTGGATCATGAGGTCGAAACTGGGGGGCGGAGGTGAGAAGCACATCATAGAGGCTACGAGACCAGGACACGGCTCACCGAAAGCGCCATAAACATCGACATACTGAGGCTATGGGGTGGAAAAGGAGCAGACTGGTTGCTCACGTAGCCCTGTTCACGCTAGTCTGAGACACCCGTTTTCGAGTGTCGCGAGGCCTGTAGGCAGGACAGAAGGGCTATTGTGTGAAGAGACAGATTTTCCGGTACTCTACGATTAGTCTTTTTGTACGGACATCCCCAACCTCCAAATTTGACAGAGGGGAGCTGGGGGAAGTGAATTTTAGCTAGCAAGTCAGTCCACTTTTTCAGTTCAGTTTTACAAAGGAGAAGATGGGAGACGTCTTTGAACCCCCCCATTAATTACTTGTGGTCTAGGTAAAAGCACCGATAAGAAAGGAAAGTTGAAAAGTAGACTGTTTACATAATTGCACGCAAAAAGGAAGCAGCCGTACGTTAGTTCAAAGAGAGCAAACATAAACGTCTACTCGCTTATCGCAAGTAGTATATTCATATTGTATCTTTAGCTCCTCTTGGTCTCAGGCAGAAACCGCGGTTCCGATACTTGAGATTGTGCACCCGGTCGGCAAGCAGAGAACTACTTAAGAAAAACACCGGCACTCCGGAAGTGGGGAGAGAAGAGTCCCAGGAGTGCACTACTACGCCTACGGCCTGCACCGAGGATGGTCATTCCAAACCGCAATTAGGATGAAGGGAAGAGTACGAGCCAAACTACCAATGAACTAACCACAAAGTCCGCTCCTGCGGACACGAGGCAACTGAGGTCTTCTCAGAAGCATGCTGCCCCCAGTGACAATTGCGGGGTATAAAGTAACGGTTAAAGATCGGAAACGCCAACCTACTTGCTAATAATGGTACAAAGTAAACCTGACCCATGAGTCGGCGTCCACATCAATTCAGAGGTTCGTCAGCGCTCCGTCGTCTGGCTGCACATCGGGGCAGGCTGGGTACCCACTAACACTAACCACATACCTGAATAAAACTGATATGAATACTCTCGAGGTGGCCGTTGTATCGATCCATCGCTGTTATTGTGCGTTTGATTTTCTTCGCTGCCCGGTAGACATTAACCCTTTCTCGATTCGTAGATGAGGCGGCATGCTCAGGAAAATTGAGCAGATCGGCGTTGGCCCACTTTTAGGCAAACTGTAAGCGCCTGGCGTAATTATTCCGGGTGAAGTACACACATGGAAGTGTCGGAAGTACGTAGACCGATCATGTTACGGTAAACACTGGTTCAGTTGTGTTTTGGGGCTTAATTTAGAGCCCCGCATGCAGTCGCACAGCGGCTAGTAGTATAGGGTGAATGAGATTACCGATAAAGACAAGGGAGATTAGGATGGCCATTTCTGGTTTATTAGTCGTCTTCAGCCAGCCAGGTTTTGGGGCACCTACCATTGTATATTCCCTATCGCAACCGGCAGAACAACGAGCCCGTGGCTCAGTGGTTTGAGGCGTTGGACTTCTAACCAACAGGTCGCGGGATCGAGCCCCAGGTATTCCGCATTTGGAGGTTGGGTATGACTGGCTGACGACAGCTAATAGGCCAGAAGTGGCCATTCCAGCCTCCCTCGTCTTTGTCAGCAATCTCCTTATTTGGAAAAGTTTCCGCCACAAATTACAAAGCAGTTTATTTCAAGACAATTGGCATAAGTCGAATATATGCAAACATATACATATATGTATGTACAGAGTGAAATGCCTTAAAGGGAGAGACAGGGGCGGCAAGAATAATAAAAAGACAGGGGAGGGGCAGGTTTGTGAACATAAAGAACTTTGGGGTGAGGGGTGGGTGCAATGTCGGGATATCTCGTTGAAAAGAGCACATGAAAGAGGCCAACGGTCACTCGGACAACAGGGGGGAAGTCCAGAAATACACCAAGAAAAAATCGAGGTTAGCCTTTGTTTGTGAATAGGCAGGGCACGACTGGCGGCGGACGTCTAGTTGTTGGTTCCGGAAAAGGACTGAAAAATCCAAAAAACACATGCAGTACTTATAAATAGGGGCAGAATAACATTACTGACAATGACGAGGGAAACCGACACCAGTCGTCATCAGTCAGCCGGGAGTCTCGATCCCGCAACCCGCTGGTTATAAGTTCAAGGCCTTAACAACTACTTCGTGGGTTCGTTGTCCTGTCGACGTTCACCGATCGCGCTACGAAACACACTCGGCCCGCTTTGTGCCCTGCGGTTCAATCTCGAGCCCACCAGCAGCCGCACAGCGACTAGTAGTATAGGCAAAATAACAGTACCTACCCTGGCTTTGTCGGTAACGTTATTCGGCCTACACTACTAACTGCTGTGCGGCTGCCGGTGGGTTGCCAGACTAAACCCCTCCTCTATTACTTATTAATGTGTTGGTATGTGCCCTGATAAGCTAAATATAACACAAGTGGGCGTCTAGAAATCAAGATAGTCGCCTCTACAGATGTCACTTTTTCTCTCACTTCTGTTCGCTGGGCATCGAGAGGTGGGCTCGTCTAACCACCCAAAGTTCATGAATCCCGGAGATTCCGTTTAAAAGCGTTGGATAAAACACGGACAGGCAGGGGTCGTCAAAGGGTCCATCAGTCCCTGCTATGACGACTTAGCAAGGGTCCAGTCACCTAAAACGCTAAGCGAATCTCCGAGCTCGGCGTCAATCTTGCTGTTCTCCAGCGGGAAAACATTTTGTCCCTTCAACGGCATCACAAGCGAGGAATCGATTTGGTAACGAAGGCCTGAAAAAGGACCGTTTCGAGAGATTTACTCCAAGTTCGCGCATCAATTTCCTCGGAAATTAGACAAGGCAAGTTGAAACTGGAGTTTATATACCAGAAAACACACGGGAAAAGCTGGGGGACCCACTGACGAGCCGAACCCCTCGCAGCAGCATAAGATCGGCGAAACACGCGCGTCTGGGCTTTTAGCTAATGCCTGTGTTGTAAGTACGGTAAATCATTGCACAGTTCTATACTACTGGCTGTCTGTTGGCGGATTTTGAATAGTAAGCAGTTATTTCGCAGTAGCTGATGGATTTCAGCTCAAATATTCATATCAAACTTTGGACCGTGCCTGAAAAGGCCCGTTTCGAGAGATTTACCCCAAGTTCGCGCATTAATTTCCTCGGAAATTAATCAAGGCAATGCTGATTTACCTTCCTTAGAGACTCCATGTCGTTCAAGGATAGACTAACACCCAGAAAATTGACTCTGTTGCCGTGCTGCTGCTAAAAGAGGCCAGAGGACAAACTAAAACGACGTTAGAAGAGCGAGCAGGGGACTCCGTTCAAGTTTGACGAACTGACTCGGACGTTTAAGGTGGTGTGCTCTGACTGACCTAACCGCCTCCGCTCGTACACCACTGTGGAGCTGACCCACTTGTTAGGAGTGCGCTGCAGTCCTGCACAGAATGTTCATCTTCTGCTGGTTTTATTCCCACTTCCACTAAAGGATACTAGACCTCTGTTGTGATAAGTAGAGTACATCATCATCAACCACTGTGAACTCGTAGCTCCGACGTACCGATTAAGCCACAGACACACCCGGCTGCTCTCTATCCCTGAACACGTCCGGATCCCCACTGTTGGTCCCCCGTGACCTGAATCAAACTTATCATGATCCAGATGGGTTTCCTCGAAGGGGAGATTTCATAGTCGACTTCTCCAGATGCTCAACGGCCGATTCACAGTGCTCTCTTCTCTGGTAGACCACAGCGGTGGACCAGATGCACCAGGTGCGTCTGAGCGCATGTCTGTGTTTCCGGTACCAGCTGGTGGTCAGGGTTATGATTGGCTGAGGGAAGGCAAACAAGCCCGAAACAGTGGTGTATCAATCTACCCCCAGACTCTGTCGTCTCCCCTCTGATATATATATATATATATCAATCAGGAATGGGCGCACACCGATCTATTGGCTTCACAAAGCAAACAAGCTCCGTATGTGTGGCAAAGGTCACGAACAGGCAACCAATTACCAGGCCGAAGTCGGCCAAGTCATAATAGCAGCGAGGAGCCAATAGATCGGTGTGCGCCCATTCCTGATTGATAAATACCCGATCTGCAGCGACAGAGAATGACAGGTGGCGAGGCACTGATGAACTTCGGTTCGATGAAGTGCTTATGACCCATCTGGTAGGCCTCAGTGGTGGACCGACTGCGCCAGGTGCGTCTGTGCGCATGTTTGTGTTTCTGGTTCCAACTGCTGGTGGTCAGGGTTATGATTGGCTGAATGAAGGCAGAATAAGCCCGAAACAGTGCTGTATCAATCTACCCGCATTCTCTGTCGTCCCTCCTCGCTGATATATATATATATATATATATATATATATATATATATGTATATATATACAGTGGATGTGCTAACTCATGAAATGTCAACCAAAATTTCGAAATGCGTTCTCGTTTTGAAAAGATAAGTTAAGTAGTGTTGTAAAACTAATCATGATGCAGCATAAACCTATAATGATCCAGTTACCTCAGGGTGTCGGCTTTCGAAAGAACTTATTATCGGCTGCATGCAAGATCTATACTCTGCAAAAAATGACTATTTATGTAGTATGCAATTTTCTCAATGATTTTCGATGCCCTTGAAAATTCAATTATATTTCATGGAAAACATTCATAAAAATATTCATTCTTTTACTTATTCGGTAGAAAATCACATCTTCTTCCAATTTCATACTCAAAAAAGAGTATAATTCGGTTTATAAAAACTTTTCCAATTCCCGAATAATTTTAAACCCGACCTGCTGTTGCCCTTGCATTCAGGGTTTCAAAACTACAAGCTGTATATTTTCCGTGTATGGAAAACCATGCATTTCTCTACAGCGTTAAGAGGAGACCATATGAGGTTCATAAAATTAAGCAGTGGATTTGAGCAATATTGTTAAATTTACAAGCCACATTCGTAAATGCAGATAAATGACGTTTCATGAACGGCCATTTAACGGTATTAACAAATCTCACAATTAGAAACTTTTTTAAAACCGAATTATACTCTTCTTTTAAGTATGAAATTGGACGAGGAGGTGATTTTCTACCGAATAAGTGAAAGAATGAATATTTTTATGCATGCTTTCCATGAAATATAGTTGAATTTTCAAGAGCATCGAAAATCAATGAGAAAATTTCATACTATTAAGTAGTCATTTTTTGCAGAGTATAGATCTTGCATGCAGCCGAAAATAAGTACTTTCGAAAGCTGGTAACTGGATCATTACAGATTTATTCTGCAAAATGATCAGTTTTACAACACTACTTAATTTATCTTTTCGAAACGAGAACGCATTTCGAAATGTTGGTTGACGTTTCATGAGTTAGCACATCTACTGTATATAAATATATATAAGCTCACATATATTTGACTTATGTCGCTTGTCTTGAAATAAACTGCTTTATAATTTGCGGCGGAAATTTTCTCATATAAGGAGATTACCGACGAAGACGAGAGAAGTTGGGATGGCCATTTCTGACTTATTAGGCGCCGTCGGCCAGCCTTACTTAAGCCCAGGTTTGCAGCACCTGAACCTTGATTTCGCTCGGTGCCCCAAATCCTGGCTGAATGAAGACGGCTAATAAGCGGGAAATGACCATCCCAATCTCCTTCGTCTTTGTTGGTAATATCATACAGCCAACATTACTAGCCGCTACAACAAGACGTAGTTCGGTGGGTACGGCGGCTTTTCGAGCATCGCGATTGTTAGCCCGGTAGGCAGCCTGTAATTGCGTTGAATAAAGTTTCTTCGTTTATGCACTGGGATAAGTGCGCGGTCACTAGATGCCCCCTATGCTGCTGCTCCACTCAATCGTGCTAACAGTACGTGGGCTGACTCATGAAGTGTCAACAGAAATTTCGAAATGCGTTTCCGTTTCGAAAAGATTAATTAAGTAGGGTTGTAAAACTACTCAGCCTGCAACATAATCCTATGCTATTTCAGTTGCCTCAGGATGCCGGCTTTTGAATGAACTCCATTCCGGCTGCATGCGAAAACGATACTCTGTAGAAATGACTACTTCAGTAGCATGAATTTTTCTCATTGATTTTCGATGCTCCTAAATGATTAGTTATATTTCTTGGTAAACATGCATAAAAATATTCATCATTTTGCTCATTCGGCAGAAAATTACGTCTTCCGCTAATTTTATACTCGAAAAAAGGGTATAATTTAGTTTTAAAAAAACTTTTCCAATGTCCGAATAATTTTGAACCCCACCCTGCCGTTACCCTTGCATTCAGGGTTCCCACCCTACAAGCTGTATAATTTCCGCGTGCGGAAAACCATACATTTCTCTATGGTAATAAAGGTGAGCCACATAGGCTTCATAAAATTAATCAGTGATTTCGAGCCACATTGGTAAATGCAGACACATGACGTCTCATAAATGGCCATCCCACGGTATTAAATAATCTCACAAATAGAAAATTTTTTGAAACCGAATTATACCCTTCCTTCGGGTGTAACATTAAATAAGACGTAATTTTCTAGTGAATGAGTAAAAGAATGAATATTTTTATACATGTTTTCCATTAAATATAATTGAATCTTTAAGGGCATCGAAAGTAAAGGAAAAAAATGCATGCGAGTTATATTGTCATTTTTTTTACGAAGCATGGTTTTTGAATGCAGTCAAAAGGAAGTTCATTCGAAAGCCGGCCTCTTGGGCTAACTGAATTATTATAGAATTTTGCCGCACGTTGACTGGTTATACAATCCCACTTAATTAGTCTTTTCGAAACGGAAACGCATTGCGAAATCTCTGTTGACACTTCATGAGTCAGCACACCTACTGTAGGTTGATGGCCCCCTTGCGTATTAATGCCACTTAACCAGCCGACTTACAAAGAATCTTGACGCCAAACTTCAGATAGAACTCGCAGACAGACGTCAACAAATAATTGTTAGGCCATAAGATGGGCGCTATCGTGAAGAGAAGGCGGATTAATTTTTAATAAAGTGAACCTGCACTGTACTTATCTCATTCTCTCTTCCCACCCACGTCGTATTCCGACAGAAAGACCATCTCCAGATGACTGGAGATAGGAATGCAAGCTGCAGTCGACGAAACGGCTCCCACGCGTCCAACACGCGATCGGGGTCCCATCTGGGCTCCATCCAGGTTGAACATGACAGGTTTGAACGTTTCAGTTATCGCCCCCTCCCCCTATGATCTTCTACGGGACATGAGGATATTCTCAGCAACTGCAATCAACCGACCGCCTTCGACCGTCGCAATACCCTTACATGCAACTACTGCCTTTCTCGTCGAAAATGTCTGTGAAAAGTTGATTCCTTGAACATTTCTGAGAAAGTAGTTAGACAATTACTCATTAAATTAGTGTTCACACCACCCGAACAACATTCACTCAATGAAGAGTTCCAACTTTGAAGAAGAGGCAAGATTTACGGAGTTTGACAATTCTGCCCTATTTATCTTCTAAAAATACTACTAATACTACCACTACTGTTGTTGTTGTTGTTGTTGCTGTTGTTGTTGTTGTTGTTGTTGCTGCTGCTGCTGCTGCTGCTGCTGCTGCTGCTGCTGCTGCTGCTGCTGCTGCTGCTGCTGCTGCTGCTGCTGCTGCTGCTGCTGCTGCTGCTGCTGCTGCTGCTGCTGCTGCTGCTGCTGCTGCTGCTGCTGCTGCTGTTGAGACTACTACTTCAATTACATTCGTTCGTGTTGGGCCTGCTAAATATTACGGGTAGGCCTGTGTTTTCGCAAATGAATGGAAACGGGGGGTCGGTGGAATCGCACAACTGTTCACCTGATGTCTCAAACTCTCGCAGACGTTTATCCTACCGCTGGCTTTTTTGCGAGCTCTCCAATTAAATTCGCGCTTTTCGGTAACGCGCATGATGGCAAATCTCCTCAAAGCACTTGAATGCCAAAAGAACATCCAGGCTCGTAGTGCCGGGTAGTTCACATTGGCGGCGGTCGTGTCCGTTGTGGTACAACAACCTGTCGGGGCCAGCGGTTTCGGTCAGCATTTAATTCCCAGTTGCTGCCACGTAACACTGCCTGACTTGCAGCGAATGTCTCCGGAGGTCAAATCTGAGTGGAATTCGAGATGCTCAAAGTATTCCCACTGTCCACAACGGGATAGCCGAGGCCGAATTCTGGATCATGAGATCGAAACCGGGGGGCGGAGGTGAGAAGCACACCAGAGAGGCTACGAGACCAGGACACGACTCACCGAAAACGCCATCAGCATCGACATTCTGGGTCTATGGGGTGGAAAAGTTGCAGACTGGTTGCTCACGTAGCCCTGTTCACGCTAGTCGGGGGCACCCGTTTTCGAGTGTCGCGAGGCCTGTAGGCAGGACAGAAGGGCTATTGTGTGAAGAGACAGATTTTCCAGCACTGAGTGAGACGGCTCTATGATTAGTCTTTTTGTACGGACATCCCCAACCTCCAATTTTGACAGAGGGGAGCTGGGGGCAGTGAATGTTAGCTAGCAAGTCAGTCCACTTTTTCAGTTCAATTTCACTAAGGAGAAGATGAGAGACGTCTTTGAACCCCCCATTTATTACATGTGGTCTAGGGAAAAGCACCGATAAGAAAGGAAAGTTGAAAAGTAGATTGTTTACATAATTGCACGCAAGAAGGAAGCAGCCGTACGTTAGTCCAAAGAGAGCAAACATAAACTTCTACTCGCTTGTTGCAAGTAGTATAGTCATATTGTATTTTTAGCTCCTCTTGGCCTCAGGCAGAAACCGCGGTTCTGATAGTTGAGATTGTGCACCCTGACGGCAAGCAGAGAACTACTTTAAAAAAACCACCGGCACTCCGAAAGTGGAGAGAGAAGAGCCCCAGGAGTGCACTATCACGTCTACGGCCCGCACCGAGGATGGTCATTCTAAACCACAATTAGGATGAAGGGAAGAGTACGAGGCAGGTCCGGCGAAACTACCAAAGAACTAACCACAAAGTCCGCTCCTGCGGACACGAGGCAACTGAGGCCTTCTCAGAAGCATGCTGGCCCCAGCGACAATTGCGGAGTATAAAGTAACGGTTAAAGATCGGAAACACCAACCTACTTGCTAATAATGGTACAAAGTAAACCTGACCCATGAGTAGGCACCCACATCACTACAGAGGTTCGTCAGCGCTCCGTCATCTGGCTGCACATCGGGGCAGGCTGGGTACCCACTCACACTGACCACATACCTGAATAAAACCGATACGAATAATCCCGAGGTGGCCGTTGTATCGATCCATCGCTGTTATTGTGCGTTTGATTTCTTTGCTGCCCGGTAGACACTAACCCTTTCTTGATTCGTAGATGAGGCTGCACGCTCGGGAAAATTGAGCAGATCGGCGTTAGCCTACTTTTAGGCAAACTGTAAGCGCCTGACGTAATTATGCCGGGTGAAGTACACACATGGAAGTGTATGAAGTGCGTAGACCGATCATGCTACGGTAAACACTGGTTCAGTCGTGTTTTAGGGCTTAATTTAGAGCCATTCAGGCAGTCGCACAGCGGCTAGTAGTATAGGGTGAATGAGATTACCGACAAAGACAAGGGAGATTAGGATGGCTACTTCTGGCTTATTAGTCGTCTTCAGCCAGCCAGGTTTTGGGGCACCTGCCATTGTATATTCCCTATCGCAACCGGCAGAACAACGAGCCCGTGGCTCAGTGCTTTGAGGCGTTGAACTTCTAACCAACAGGTCGCGAGATCGAGCCCCAGGTATTCCGCATTTGGGGGTTGGGTATGACTGGCTGACGACAGCTAATAATCCAGAAGTGGCCATTCCAGCCTCTCTCGTCTTCGTCAGCAATCTCCTTATTTGGAAAAGTTTCCGCCACAAATTACAAAGCAGTTTATTTCAAGACAATTGGCATAAGTCGAATATATGCAAACATATACATATATGTATGTACAGAGTGAAATGCCTTAAAGGGAGAGACAGGGGCGGCAAGAATAATAAAAAGACAGGGGAGGGGCAGATTTGTGAACATAAAGAACTTTGGGGTGAAGGGTGGGTGCAATGTCGGGATATCTCGTTGAAAAGAGCACATGAAAGAGGCCAACGGTCACTCGGACAACAGGGGGGAAGTCCAGGAATACACCAAGAAAAAATCGAGGTTAGCCTTTGTTTGTGAATAGGCAGGGCACGACTGGCGGCGGACGTCTAGTTGTTTGTTCCGGAAAAGGACTGAAAAATCGAAAAAACACATACAGTACTTATAAATAGGGGCAGAATAACATTACTGACAATGACGAGGGAAACCGACACCAGTCGTCATCAGTCAGCCGGGAGTCTCGATCCCGCAACCCGCTGGTTATAAGTTCAAGGCCTTAACAACTACTTCGTGGGTTCGTTGTCCTGTCGACGTTCACCGATCGCGCTACGAAACACACTCGGACAGGCAGGGGTCGTCAAAGGGTCCATCAGTCTCTGTTATGACGACTTAGCAAGGATCCAGTCACCTAAAACGCTAAGCGAATCTCCGGGCTCGGCGTCAGTCTTGCTGTTCTCCAGCGGGAAAACATTTTGTCCCTTCAACGACATCACAAGCGAGGAATCGGTTTGGTAACGAAGGCCTGAAAAAGGACCGTTTCGAGAGATTTACTCCAAGTTAGCGCATCAATTTCCTCGGAAATTAAACAAGGCAAGTTGAAACTGGAGTTCATATACCAGAAAACACACGGGGAAAGCTGGGGGACCCACTGACGAACCGAACCCCTCGCAGCGGCATAAGATCGGCGAAACACGCGCGTCTGTGCTTTTAGCTAATGCCTGTGTTGTTAGTACGGTAAATCATTGCACAGTTCTATACTACTGGCTGTCTGTTGGCAGTTTTTGAATAGTAAGCAGTTATTTCGCAGTGGCTGATGGATTTCAGCTCAGATATTCATATCAAGCTTTGGACCGTGCCTGAAAAGGCCCGTTTCGAGAGATTTTCCCCAAGTTCGCGCATTAATTTCCTCTGAAATTGATCAAGGCAATGTTGATTTACTTCGTTAGAGACCTCCATCTCGTTCAGGGATAGACTAGCACCCAGAAAATTGACTCCTTTACCGTGCTGCTGCTGAAAGTGGCCAGAGGACAAACTAAAACGACGTTAGAAGAGCGAGCAGGGGACTCCGTTCAAGTTTGACGAACTGACTCGGACGTTTAAGGTGGTGTGCTCTGACTGACCTAACCGCCTCCGCTCGTACACCACTGTGGAGCTGACCCACTTGTTAGGAGTGCGCTGCAGTCCTGCACAGAATGTTCATCTTCTGCTGGTTTTATTCCCACTTCCACTAAAGGATACTTGACCTCTGTTGTGATAAGTAGAGTACATCATCATCAACCACTGTGAACTCGGAGCTCCGACGTAACGATTAAGCCACAGACACACCCGGCTGCTCTCTATCCCTGAACACGTCCGGATCCCCACTGTTGGTCCCCCGTGACCTGAATCAAACTTATCGTGATCCAGATGGGCTTCCTCGACGGGGAGATTTCATAGTCGACTTCTCCAGCTGCTCAACGACCGATTCACAGTGTTGTCTTCTCTCAAAATTTTGTCATTACCCTGATTCCGTTGACCTTCTCGTCCTCTACAGGCTGAAACTCGTACCTTCCAGAAGGCCCACCTGAATGTATGTCGCCAATGGCATCACAAAATGCTTCACTCGGCTTAAGGATCGATCCCGGGTGAGGAGGAACACTCCCATAGCACCAACAAGCATAGAAGCTCTAGCACAGCCGGCAAGTGAACGAAGCGATGCATGTTAACTCCCAGTAGAGAGAAGACAAAGAGCTCATACCGTCGCATTCCGCCCATCCCTCTTTTTTTCCCCTGTCTGTCTTTTCGAGCCTCAAAGGATTATCAAGGTTACAGCAGCATCTGAGTCGAGTCATGAAGAATACGGATGAAATCCAGTTTATCACACCCGAAGTTGTCATCTACTACAATCTTCCATGTATAGGTGAAACAACAATATCAAGCGCTACCGGGGTATATTCTCAACGAGATCAATTATTCCTCGTCTAAACAATCCATTTTCTTTTGTCAAAATTCATTGTACGCGGATACTGGGCATTCACTTTGGCTACTTCAGATCACTGAAATCGTGCCAATTTTCTATAGCGCAATTATCCATGCATCGCCTACGGTACAATGTACTTAGT